AAGGAATCCGATCTTTACCTCAATAACTCTACAATAGATACAAGATCTTGGATCTCCTTCTACTCCCTTGGATCTAGCTTCCTTCTTCTCTTCCAAAACTTCAAGATTCACACCATAAATGCTCAAAATGCTCAAGGAAAGGTTAAGGTTTGCTAAATGATGCTCTGAGGGTGAAGGGGACGAGGTTGGGGCTCATAACATGGTTTAAATAGGGTGCAAAACCCGGGGTTTTAGGGTTTCATTCAGACTGATGGACTCGCCGAGTCGCCAACTTAAACATGCTCGAAATCCCGTCTCTACTCGACGAGTCGGGCTACTGACTCGTCGAGTCCCTTTTGGAAATTGAATAAATAATAATAATAAATAACATACCAGAATCGGGGCGTTACACTTTAGAGTGAGTATCAATCCATTAAGCCTTTGAACTCTCCCAATATAGTCCTAAAACACATATCTAGAGTCCAAAGTTCGAATATTGATGTAAAGTTTCCAACTTTACGTCCATGCCAGCTAGAAATACACTCTAGAGCTTAATAATGACTTAATGAGGGACTTATTGCATGAATGGGGCTAGGAACTAATAAAGTTTGCAACTTTCAGCCATGAGAAGTCATAAAGGGTTTAGATCTAACATAATAACCCCTGAAACCTTCAACGTCTTGGCTAGCCCAACCAAAATCCCAAAATCATGATACAGATTCCATTAAAGAGATCTAGACGATAACAAAGAAAGATGTCGACTTTATACCTTAATAAGACTGCTAATAAAGAAGAGTTGATGGATCCAAGGTCCTCCTTCCAAGCTAGGTACTTCCAACTTCAAATATCCTTCCAAAAAGTCACCAGAATGAACTTTCCAAGCTCACACACACTCAATCTTGCAAGGTAATGCACGTATTTAGGGTTTCTGGACAGGGGAGGCTGGTATGGAGGCCAGCAAATGGGGGGTTAAGGTCTTTAAATAGGGTGCAAAACCCTAAAATTAGGGTTTTCTTCATAATCATCAACTCATCGAGTTGGGACATCCCGACTCTCCGAGTTGGACCATTAAAACCCGTGGCCACAACCCTTCTAAACACGATGAGTTGTAGCTCCCCAACTCGTCGAGTTCCAACAATAATTCCAAATATTTAAGAAATGATTTATACCTGAAACAGGCGTTACAACCGAAGGCAATGAAATGAAGCAAGAAGCTCTGATCATGTTGAATAATGATTACATTAGTACAAGAAGAAGTTGGAATCTGAGACAAACCCGTTACAAGGTTTAAAGCCACTTGGTTAGGGAAAGGAGATCAAAGCAGATACAACTCCATGGCTTGCATAAAAGTTGTGCAAAGCATCCTACTATGAGCAGATATGGAAAAGCTTTTATGCATGAATACAATTGGTTGTTTAATTGTGTTATTTGTTTGTGGGATTATGTTTGGTTGAGTTTGCTTAGATGTTTGACATTAGTTTAGAGTAGTTATATGTTGGTTGTTTTATTCAGACAATTAGTTATGCATATTATATATGTATTTTGGTGTAATGTGAATATATACTTGTAATTTGATGAAATGTTAGTATATATTTTTAATTTGGTTTAATATCAATATATAAATGTAACCTATTTTGGATTTGGTAATTAGACTGTACATTGTCTATGGTATGTAGCAAAGTAGTAACTTGATGATGTTAATTTGTTTAAGTTTGATAATTTATTATGGGGTTACAATTTATGCTTTGCATTTAACACTATAATTTATATATTTTAACTATTTATAATTTAATATTTGGATTTTATTTTAAGTTTAGTTGAAATTTTGATTTAAGTGAACCCTTTAAAGTTATATTTAAACTAATAATTGAAGTATTTCATACTATTCAAAGTTGTGACTTTATTTTGCATGTTATTTAAATTTATTACATGTATACTACACGGGTTTGAACCTAGTATTAATAATATCGACCAAATACTTTGACCTAGTATCCATCCACCACATCGAAATCAAGGATTGTCAAAGGTTTCCTCATACATTCTTTCTTTGAAACTGTGTTCTATAATTCACAAATTCATAGCAGAATTCCCTAGCAAATACCTACAAATGGTACTTCCATAGCAAAGCAATTATGGAATTATTTTCCGTTGAAAATTTTCGTTGCATATTAACCACGATAATTAATTCCATAGCACTAATAGAATGGAAAGTGTTTTTGTAAAAAATTTCATTGGAAAATTGCTAAGAATGCTTTTTCCATAGAAATATCGGTAGTATAATACCAACGGATATGGAGTCGGTAGCATTTTCCCTAACAAGTCTCATGCTCGCTACCGAAAATAGATTACATGAACAATGTGGTAGCAACCTTGTTATGGAACGACATTCCATGACACAATCCATTGCAGATTAACAACGAAAATATGTTTCATAGCACCCTTCCTTAATCGTGTTTTTCTTGTAGTGACAGAAGATGATTTTGAAATTATCTCCATCCCACATAGGATGGTAGATGAAACCTAGCAAGGGTTTTAAGGCTATAAATCGGGTGTTAAGAGTTTCATTCCTCCTTTCACCTTGGCTTGAAATTTTCGTCAACTTCTTCCCTTTCTCTCCATAAGACAAATTTCTTAACCCTTTCTGGGGTTTATAGTCATTTAACCCTCTCGTAGTTTTCTGTTGCTTTCATATTTGGAGTCTTTGGTGTGATTCCATTAGGGGGATTCTCCGTTGTGACCTCTCGTCCAAGAAACATGGTTGGATCAAGAAGGTTCACGAAGATCAATATCAAGCTACATAAGAGGTTAGTAATTTTGTCTTTTTTTAGTAGATTTTACAGTTTTAAAAGTAGGTTGGTATAATTAGTAAAACCTAGATCCTATGGTGCATGTACACTTAAGTAAATTTTGTTTGTTTCCGCTGCCTTGTTAGACTGTATTGATGTTATAAAAAACCCAACAATTCGAGACTTAATACGCGTTCGTGAAATGTAAGTTGTACTTAGACCAACAAGTGACCCAAAATGTCGAGATGATTAGCAAACTGACTTGTCCATCCCTTGTACGTCTTTGGCCATGGGTGTCTCCCTCATATGGTTTTGAAGCAATAGTTTTTGTATGTTATGTATCTTATTAGGCTCTCCAGCCTAATGCGATATTTTTACTTGTGTCTCAGGTGTAGTGTGATAGTGTGTTGAGTAGTGCTTGGAACGTGCTTACCCTATCTTTTGGATATTGGATATACGATGTTGGGTGTTAAAACGAGGGGAACAACAACGAGGGGGTGATGATAGTTTATGTTTGGTAGATGTTTTTGTACGACAAATAACTTTAATATTATATTTTTTTGTCTTAGTTTATGCGTTTTTATAAAGTTGTTATTTTCTGCATTTTTGAATGTATTTTTTGCATTTAAAACATTTTCCGTGTGTTAGAAAAATAATATTTTAAATATTGAAAAAAACTAAAAATAATGACAATATATTAAGAGCGATTCCATAGCGAATATATTAAGAGCGATTCAATAGCGACGAAATATCACCGATAAAATTAGTACGGCGGACATTTTTAAATATTAAGGGTTATATGTGTCGCCCCTATTACCCTAAAATCGTGCAGTGTGGCTCAACCTTTGACCTAAGAAGGGTTGTTGTTTACAATACCACAGAGGCATAGAATAAACCCCCACATCATACCAACAATACAGAATAGAGTTATAGCTCTAAAAGACTTGCATAATGTGAATTTGGAATATGATAAGCATGTAGATGAGAAATGGGAAAATGGCCCCTACACCTTTTAATCTCTTTATCAATTCTTGACCCTACCCTCCCACAAATGACATTGCATATTCAATACGATTGGATGGTAGCACCAAAGCCATGGCATATGTAGCCTTTACTTTTGTTGGTGTTTCTAGTTGGCTTCTTATACTAAAATGGTAATTTTTAACAAGTCCTTGGTTGAATAATTTCAACCAAAAGATTTGATGATTATGTACACTTGTTTTGCCTTTTCAAGGATGTAAATAAATAATATTTTTTATCGTTTATGTCATGTGTCTTTAAGATAATATTTTAATTTTTTTTGGATTAACTTATTTTCTTTTTAGGAATGTCTAGTGTTAATTTACATACGCCCAAAGTATAACATGTCTATTAACGAATCCTGTTAGCTCGCTTTACGCCATTTAAGTCTTGAAAACGCATAAGTAGCATACTTAAACTCATGCAAGTCAAGAAACACATAAATAACATAGAAACTCAGTAAACATGTGGCTTTGACCTAGTGCTATTCATAGATTTTTATTTTTATTTTTGTTCGGTAAGTTCAAATCTCTTTAAAGATAATTAGCGTCGGTTTTTAATAGTTTACAAAAAGCATACAAACGTATTTCATCGGTGTTTTTTTTTTTTTTGGAAACTTAATTATAATTATATTAATGTTATATGATCTTAAATATCCTCTTAACACTATACCAATTTTTTGAAGATGTTTCAGATGTAGCCATATAATATATTTAAATAATTAACAAGTAGTCAGGTAATTTAGTTAAATATCACACAATTGTAACATTTACGAGACACATGAATTTTTTTATTTTTTTATTTTTTTTTTTTGGGGGGGGGGGGGGGGGTATTCAATTTAGTTAATATTTTATAAATTGTAGATAAATAAAAAAAAAAAAAAAAAGATAAAATGCATATATAAAAACTATTTTATATGAGTTAGAGAACAACCACATAAAAAAGTAAAAACCATATAGATTGGAGTTAAGAAAAAAATTGAAGATGATGTTATAATTTTTTTGTAAAGCACAAGGATAATTTATGTAATTTAGTATAAAAATACTTATATTGTTTTTAATGACTTTTACTATCTATATTTATCCCATCTATGTGCTGACAATTCTTTCCTGCCCATCTCTCTCCTCCACTGCAGTTGCCAGTGTAAACTGCAGGACCAAGTATATAAACAGAATCTCCCCCACCTTTCATACTTGTTCTTCCTCTCAAAAATCCCACAAACTTAATTCAAACTTTTTTTTTTTTTTTTTTTGGAAAATAAAACCCAAGAAAAATGGGAAGATCTCCATGCTGTGATAAGGTGGGTTTGAAGAAAGGACCATGGACTCCTGAAGAAGATGAGAAGCTCTTGGCTTACATTCAAGAACATGGCCATGGAAGCTGGAGAGCTTTGCCTTCAAAAGCTGGTTCGTATGAACTAATAATCTCATATTCTTTTATGAATTAATCATTGAAATTATAACAGAAACTGTGTTCTTGCTTACGATATTCAAGAATATTACACATACTACAGGGCTACAAAGATGTGGGAAAAGTTGCAGGTTGAGGTGGATAAACTATCTTAGACCTGATATAAAGAGAGGAAAATTCACTCTTCAAGAAGAACAGACCATAATTCAGCTTCATGCTCTCTTGGGTAACAGGTAATTTTATTTTTATTGATTTAAACCATTTTTTTAAGACATTGAAAAACAGAACTTGATCTTGAAATTCAATTATATTTCATTTTAAGTTATAATCTTTCGAACTTATTTTGTTTTCGTTCCAAAAAGAATCTTACCTAAACATAAAAAATTATTCCCTTGATATTTGTACTTTGTTATTTTTGTTACTAAAAATATATTTTGCCACAATTTAACTTTTTGTATCATAATCTTTTGTGGTTTTACAAGATATATGGTGGTATATAGAAGCCAAATTTCGGTACATTGATCTTGCAATTATGTTTTGATGTTTCTTAGGAATATGATTTGTTTGTTTCAATTTTCATCAATTCTATATGTCGTGTGTTTTTGTAATACAAAGATGTTTTATGTTTTGGTTTGATTGTCTTTTTTTAAGATGGTCGGCCATTGCCACACACTTATCAAAAAGAACGGATAATGAAATCAAGAATTACTGGAATACCCATCTCAAAAAACGGCTGATAAAAATGGGGATTGATCCTGTTAGCCACAAGCCCAAAAACGATACCCTTTTGTCCAACGATGGTCATTTCAAGAGCACAGCCAACTTGAGCCACATGGCTCAGTGGGAGAGTGCAAGGCTCGAAGCTGAAGCCAGATTAGTGAAACAATCTAAGGTATGTTCACTTACCTCTACATTTGGACCACCTTCGAGCTCGAGGCACCTTGAGATACATAATAAGGCATGGAATGGGATTCTTGATAACGGGAATGGAATTGGAGATTCCGAATCATCATCATCCACACTTTCTACCAACAGACTCAAAGATAACCCCTCAAGTTTTTACGAGTTAGTTGTTGGGGGTAGCAATGAGGAGAGTTTACATGAAGAATACGAGGTAGTTCCGGAATACAAAGATCAGAAGAATGGAATGGGTCAAGGAGTTAATGAGATGACCATACCTACCATAGATGATAACACATGGACGACTGAGCCATTGCAATCAAGCAACGATAATGACCAACATGTGCCGAATGGAAATTTCTTGGAACATTTTACAGATCTTTTGTTATGCAGTAAGAACAGCTTCAGTGATCGTTGCAGTTTAACAAGATCTGACAACAATTCAGATGTTGATCTTGTTTGCAATGACAAAAACGATAGACCTACTCATGAAATTATCGATGACTGTTATGAAGACAAGAACAAGATTTATTGGGATAACATTCTAAATATGGCAAATGCTTCACCATCTAATCATCCTATGTTTTAGGAAAGAATTCCTTTTATGATTGAGGTTTTTTTTTTTTTTTTTTTTTTTTTTTTTTTTAATAATAATTTCTTAAGAGGTTAAAGAGTTGTAAAATGTTTGCAAGTGTGTATTGCAATAAACGTGTAGATTTGTAGGGCTTTTAAAATTTAACGTGCTTTTGCTTTTTCTGATTATTTTAGACTTAAATGATTTAAAAACTTGCTTATTATATAAAAATATAAAAATACAAATGAAAATGACATTATTATTTGGAATTTAATGCCTCTATATATGTGTTGTAGTTATATTTATGTTTCCTCAATCTTCACATGGCTTTCCATAATGTCGTCACATCAAAAATGCACAGTAAAAATAGACATTAATATTTAAAACGACTTGTCAATAAAAATTTCTCATTCTTAATAATAATAGTGTATGATTGATATTTAATATGCAAGTAATATAAGTAATGATTCATTTGCTGATGTAATCACTAGTGACATTATTGTCATCGAACGATTTTATAGTCTTTGGAATTTGAGGGAATTCAAAATAGTTTATAAAAATGAGACCAATTAATTAGCAAAAATTATCGTTTTGTGATGAGGTGGGGTGTTTTTTCTTAACCATTCATGATTGTTTAGATATTCAAAATGAAGTTATTATTATTATTAGCATTATTTTTTCGATTTCCAGATTTTTTTCTTTTGTTATTATTGATTTGGACAGTTGCTTAGAGATCTTTTGTGAGTCATTTTCAATTTGTTAGGATTATAGAAAGAAATTTATCATCTTATTCTATAAATATTAGGATGTTATTTAGGGTGTTAGATTTTATTAATAAATATTTGTATTGGATTTCTCTTATTTTGTTCTTATTGTTCATATTTGTGATTAAGTCTTATTTTTTGGGCCATATTTGGTATAGAGCACACATATGACTGACTAAAAACGAAGTTGACAAAATTCTTTCTAGGAATAGAAGACGTTGTAGGTAGTACAAACAACTTACGAGGTGGTGGGTATATTGCATGATTCACATAGTCGATCCATATGATGCATATGGTCTGGAGATTGGACGCTACAACGACATATCCAAGAACTCGAGCTCTTGCAACAAGACTCACTAGACGAAGATATTGAATCAGAACAAAGAGTCAAGAACGAAAACTTTGAGGAGGTAAATCATTTTCCTGAAATTAGATGAGATCATTGCATAGGAGGATACCATAATGATTTGTTGAGGGAAATTGGTTTGAAGTTTGAGATTCCTAAATTCACAGGATATGCTTATCCTGATAACACTCATTTATAAGTATATCTCTAAAGTTTGCCTTAATCCAAACCAATTATATATGATGAGGAGTATGAAGATGAGACACATCAATTTTGTGGCATCGACTCCATCTATGATACAGAACCCGTTTATGACTCTGATGATGTAGATGAAGTTGTTATCGAAAATCCAATATCACTTTCGAAAGTTTGTCGTTACAAGAACCAATAACTATAATGTAGATACGCATTTGGGATTTTTTTTTATAAACATCAAACTTGTCATTCACCCTAAGGCTACTCAAATAATCAGATGTAAAGAAAGCAATGGTACATCGATGTGATCTCTAATTATGAATGTTGTCTTGGTACATTCGTAATCATTTTAAAGTATGGAAATCATTTGCCCTTTAGAAACTGTAAGAGTAATTGCATATGAAGACTTGAGGATTAGTCTTTTTTTAAAAGAGGGACACGATGATGTAGGAGAATACAAGATTTGATTCATTTGATGATGTCATCACCATAGGAATTAAAGTTTGATGACATCATTGCTAAATGTGCCAATTTATAGTTTTGGAATATGAGGACATTCAATTAGTTTATATGAAACAACGTGAATTAGCAAGACTCATCGGTTTTCCATGAAGTATGTGTCTTTTGACCATTCAAGATTGTTCAGGTGATCAAAATGATGTTTTCTATTTTTACGATTTTATGAATCTTTTGTATCTGAATTTATTTCGATAATTAATTAAGGATCTTATCTTAATCAATTTTGATTTTTTAAGATTATGGAAATAAGTTTATCTTTTTCTCCTATAACTATTTCGATTTTCTATGTTATTTGGGGAGTTGACTATTATTAATAAAGATCCATATTTGATTTATCTTATTTTGTTCTTTATGTTTGTATTAGCCATTCAATCCTATCAACATCAATTATAAAATTTAATCAAAGTTTTCTTTGGTATTACACAGCTTATTTTGGCACCATGTGAAACATATTTAAGATCTCACATAAGGTTCTTATTTTACACATTAATTTGTTGCAGTTAAGATGCTAGCTCCATACAAACTATGATGAATTTTTATGCTAGGTCCATAAAAACGATGATGAATTTTGTCCCACAATAGGGAATCAATTGCATGTGAAACACTTTAAAGACCAAGAATTTTGACTCACAATAAGCTTACTTCATCATGTACCATGGTCATGTTTTAAGCTAACTTCCGATGATATTTCATTGGTTGACTATTCTTCTTGTTGTCGTCTAAAGTTTGGAAAAAGATCGCGATTAGAACCGGACTCTTAAACTATCAAATTTTGCCTTGAAAAACACTTGACCAAATGCATCATTTTGAGAAACATACAACATCAAGAAAATATATCTTTCAAAATTATATCATATGTCTTTTAAACAATGGATAATATCATAAATAGCAAAACTAGCAAGAAGTTAGAATGTAGCAAGTGCATAAAGATAAGATAATAAATGCATACATAATAAAACCAAATTACAAACGATTAGTATATTCACGGATAAGATTTCAACTCCATCCGGTCCACTTAAGACAACTTTTTTTCTTTTTATGTGAGTTTACCTACAGCTATGATAGGATTTTCAATTCAAATGCCATTGCATTTCGCAATTTTAGATCTTGTGTGTATGTCTTGAGGTTTCAATAACTCCAAAAACCTAAAGGAAGACCAGCATGATAACTTTCTAAAATTTCTTTATACAAAAGAAAGAGATCATAATTAGGTTCCACTATGCTAGTATTTTACTCCAAACATCCAAGGTTACTCTACCCTCCAAGAAGGCATGATTTTCATCTTCGAGGATAGAATTCTTTAGTTTACACATGTTATAGAGGCTCCAATACAAAATTCCAAAAGGTTAACCAAGTTTGGGAACTTCTCATGTTTGGTTCTCTATGCCAAGATATTGATCTTTTTGAGGGACAAACTTATTCCACACCTAATAATTGATTAATTAAGGGAAGGATATGTCATTTATGTAGAGACCGAGGAATAAATCGAAAAAGGACTGATTATTTTTCTAAAGTCCAAAACTAATTATATTTATTACCTTATGTAACGTCACACCTTATGATCTGATGAGTCAAACACTCATACACGCTATCTGTCAGCCTCAACGTGTATACCTTCAACACTAGCGTATCAAGCCTATCAGTGTCAACGCTTAGTATAGTTATTGTATGTAATCTTTTGTATATTAGGCAACGATATATATATATATATATATATATATATATATATATATATATATATACATACATATATATATAATAGATAGCAGATCTGATATCCTTGTGATAAGGATCAGTTCTTAGTATAGATAAGATATAATCCCTTCAATCAAGGGATATACTTGTATATATTAGTTTATATTGAACATTAGGGTGAAACCCTAATGTTAACACAACTTGGTGTCGTAATTGTCTTTGTGACAAATCGTCTTCTTGGTGAAGACAAAATCCTTTCTAGGTGACATAACAATTTGGAGAACTCCTTGTGTTAATTTAATTTATGTTCTTTGTTTTTCTTAGATTAAGTTTAATTTCGGTCTTTATACTTAAAGTGTATCTGATCGATACAAACCTTCAATTGGTATCAAAGTGGGTTTTTGATACACTCAAGTAATCATGTCGACTTCCATTAATCCCAAATCATTTGCTCTCAACAAATTTTCTCCCTTCGATGAACACAACTTCGCTATGTGGAAAACAAAGGCCATGGCTGTTCTAGAAACCATGGACTATGAAATGCGCAAGATTTTTGCAAAAGTTCCTCACGTTCCTACGTATCAACCCATGGTCAATAATGCTCTTGTTGGATCCTTGGAGCAAATGCCAGAGACGAGTTATGATGATGATGATAAAAGACTCATTGTCTTGATGTGAAAGCCATGGATGATATTGGAAACTCTCTTCCTTACTACATGTATCATCTTGTACATAATTCTGAATCAAGTTAATAGCTTATGAAGGAACCGTAGAAGTCCAGGACACAACCATTAACAACCTCAATCGGAGATATGAGCATTTCTTTTCTCAACAAGGTGAGTCGCTTATTCAAAGATTTAATAGGTTTAACTGCTTGGTTAAGGATATGCGCAGGCTGGAAATAGTCAAGCATTCATCTCAGTTGGTTATGAAGTTTCTTGACTCTCTTGGGAAAAGCTGGGAACATCTTGTTGATGTCCTTAAGAATGGTGAAAAGATCGATTCCATGGATCTGAACTCCTTGTTCGGTAATCTATGAAATTATGAAGAGACCAAAGCTCTTTGTAAAGAAATCATGAAGGACTCAAGCAAGGAAAATTATGTTGCTCTGGTGTCTCCAAAGGAAGTAATAAATCACATCGGCGACTTAGATAACTCAGATCAGGGTAAAGAGAGTGATGAAGACCTCATTGATGGACTTGTTACCAGCTCTAATCTTATTGTCAAACATTATGAAGAAAATATATCAAACGGGGCTCGAAGAACTCAGTTTAGAGGAAGTAGTTCAGTAAGGAGATCCACTTCAAAGAAAAGAAACTTTGGTAATTAATTTAATTGTGGAAGCCCTTATCATTTTTCTGAGAACTGCAAGGAGAAGAAATAAGGTCAAAGTCCGGAGAATTATGAAGCCTTGTACAAGAAGCTGGTGGCCAGTATGAAAAAGGAAAACATCTAACAGCAAAAAGTTTCATTGCAAAACAAGAGGATCGTGAAGAATGGTGGAAGAAGAGGAGACATCTA